TACGACAACCCACAAATACCAACGATTAACCAAACTGTTATAGTTGTACGTCTTTCACTCGCCACTTGTCTCTGGAGTTCGTCATTAGTTTCCGTGTCACTACCGACCATTGTAACAGCGATTTCGGTAGACTGCTTTCTGATCTCCTTAAAGATGTAGAAATACATCGTCATAATTGTCACAAACACTGCGCAAAATATGAAACCATACACAATGTATCCAATAACATTTCCACACACAATGAATTGACATTTCTCAGGACTGGAAAACCCGTCGTAGAATATCACAGAAACGATGACAGTTGACAAGAACAAGAGTAACACAACAACAAATAGGAGTCGTGTCCACGTGACCACAATGTCAAATTTAAAGGGAATAAGTACGATTAGCAACCGTTCAGTAGTTATGATTAAATTAATAAAAGCAGTAAATAAGGCGACGGTAAGTGCAATACGAATACTAATCTCACAAACAATATCGTCGCCTCTGTAAGAATATATGGATAAAAGGTTGAAAATCAGAACCAGGCAGGACATTAAGACATTACACACCAGTACAGCAGAGAAACACACCTTTTGTCTTTTAGGAACTGTATGGCTAATTGACACTGCCAGTCCAGATCCAACATTTAGAATTAAAGATGTAACCGCCATGAAATCTGCAGTCTTAGCAATAACGTGATCGTAATCCATGGCTTAAATCAAAATATATATTATCAGAACTGACCATCAACACGAGATAAGAACTTATCAACAGTACAGATACCACATTTAGAAGTAAGGACGCAACCGCTATGTCACATAGCTTAAAACACGAGCAAATTTTCCTTCGTAGCAGACTGTATCGCATATGTCCGTGTTCATTAGGCCAGTGGGGGTAGAACAATATGATCTTAAACCCTATTTCATTTCCATAACTTCTGTTAGCAGATCTAAGAACCTAACAACAGTTCAGATATTTAGAAGTACACTATGTAACAGCAATGCAAACTGCAACACTCCCAGATATAAAATACTGGCTTAAACCATAATATCAATCCGAACTGACTATTAACAGCTAATGGCAAATATACTTACTGTATATATAAATATATCTAACCGGGTGATACCAATAATGGTGAAGGATTGGCCATAAGAGATTAAAATATAAAACATTAAGATACATTAGCTTTTACCATCAATTGTTTCAAAACAAAAAGTTTAGTTTCTCAAACTTTTAAATGTGGATCGATCAATAGCTGTAAAACAAAGACCAGTGATTAAAATAAAGCCTTAAGTTGGAATTTATACACAGTCCTACATTGTTTAATAATAATCACATTATCCGTAGTATCACGATTATTCCTGGTGATATTATTAGAACAATGTCGAGTTTTGAGAATCGATAAACCTTTTAAAATGTCTGTCAGCCAGGCATCATTATCCTTATCTGTTTAGCCACAGACATGGGCCATCGAGATTTAGATTTCCAGTTGAGGTAATTTCCAAGTACCGTCAACGAGTAGAAAATGTTTCAAATTTAAATTTTATGTGATTTTGTTTTAAGTATTATATGATTCATATGATTTGGCAGTTTGGTAAGCTGTCCGATAGATACCAATTGTTTATCTCCTACATATATCGGTTCCTGTCGAAATTGGCATCTATCGGACAGTTACTTCATTGATTATGGTCCCTGATTTACGAAAAATCCCGTTTTTAGCTGTGGACACTCATGGGGTCACAATTTCTATCCGATTTCTATGAAACCGAAAATGATAGTTTACAACCCAAAGAGATTCCTTGATAAAAGCCCCTGGTATCACGTTTTATCCGAATTTAAAAACCCTTCCGATATATATGATTGTTACACTAATGGCGGTCCAGTTTGAATTTCGTAAAATTAGTCTGAAACTGCATAACAAAATAATACTACGGTTGTGAACCCTCTAGAGGTCACAAGTTTTATCCAATATTGATGACACTTGAAATATATGTATATCCCCAAGATCTCGGTTCCTTTCGATAGTTGCGCGCATCGGGCTCTAACTTCCTGGATTATGGCCAGCCTTTTCTCTGTCATCTCTTGTAAAATGTGGACGTACATGTATCATGCACGGCAACCGCTTGTATATTTATTATTTTGTACTTGTGAATCAGCTATTACTAATAATTTTACATTTTCTTGTAGGATATATTTTTCTTGTTAATACAAATAGCGCCCGAAATCACATAATACACGATTTCTAAATGTCCATTACGCCTTGTGTTAGTAGTCAGTTCTGATATTTTGATTTAAACCAGCATATTATATGTGATTAATATTCGTATTCCATCTTAAGCCTTCATTTTAATCTCCAGCCTCGTAGGTTTTCTCCGGGTCCTCCGGTTTCCCCCCACTGCTAAAGACCCCTACGCGCAAGCGAATTATTGAAATAAAATTGTTAGTCCCGAAATGACCTAGTTTGTGTCGAGTGGACGTTAAGCCCCATGTCTCTCCCTCTCTTTATTTTAATCACTGGTCTTTGTTTTACAGCTATTGATCGATCCTCCTAATAGGAAGTCACCCACATGGAAAGTTTGAAAAACCGAACTCTTTGTTTTGAAAATTGAATGTAAAAGCTAAAGGCTAATGTATCTTAATGTTTTATATTTTAATCTCATATGGCCAATCCTTCACAATTTTAGTTGTAAAACGTTGCCCATACAAGGGTCATTGTTGATATCACCCGGTTAGATATATTTATATATACAGTAAGTAAATTTGCCATTACCTGTTAATAGTCAGTTCGGATTGATATTATGGTTTAAGCCAGTATTTTATATCTGGGAGTGTTGCAGATTGCATTGCTGTTACATAGTGTACTTCTAAATATCTGAACTGTTGTTAGGTTCTTATCTCTGCTAACAGAAGTTATGGAAATGAAATAGGGTTTAAGGTTATACTGTTCTGCTCCCACTGGCCTAATGAAGACGGACATACGCGATACCGTCTGCTACGAAGGACAATTCACCCGAGTTTTTAGCCATGTGACATAGCGGTTGCGTCCTTACTTCTAAATGTGGTATCTGTACTGTTGATAAGTTCTTATCTCGTGTTGATGGTCAGTTCTGGTAATATATATTTTGGTCTCGGCCATGGATTACGATCACGTTATTGCTAAGACTGCAGATTTCATAGCGGTTACATCTTTACTTCTAAATTTTGGATCTGGACTGGCAGTGTCAATTAGCCGTACAGTTCCTAAACGACAAAAGGTGTGTTTCTCTGCTGTACTGGTGTGTAATGTCTTAATCTGATGTGTGCTTTTACCCATACATTCTTACAGAGGCGAAGATATTGTTTGTGAGATTAGTATTCGTATTGCACTTACCGTCGCCTTATTTACTGCTTTTATTAATTTACTCATAATTACTGAACGGTTGCTAATCGTATTTATTCCCTTAAAATTTGTTATTTGTTGTTGTGTTACTCTTGTTCTTGTCAACTGTCATCGTTTCTGTGATATTCTACGACGGGTTTTCCAGTCCTGAGAAATGTCAATTCATTGTGTGTGGAAATGTTATTGGATACATTGTGTATGGTTTCATATTTTGCGCAGTGTTTGTGACAATTATGACGATGTATTTCTACATCTTTAAGGAGATCAGAAAGCAGTCTACCGAAATCGCTGTTACAATGGTCGGTAGTGACACGGAAACTAATGACGAACTCCAGAGACAAGTGGCGAGTGAAAGACGTACAACTATAACAGTTTGGTTAATCGTTGGTATTTGTGGGTTGTCGTATTCTCCTGTGGGCATTCATATGATCTATGCTGGTATTGTTTACCCTGGCAACCGAGACACACTTGATACCACAATTGCGGTTTTGTCATCTTTGCATTTTGTGAATACTTTTGCTGGCCCCATCCTTTACATATGGCGGTTGAAGGCCTGTCGTACTGAAGTGGCATCGATGTTTAAAATCTGTGTTTCGCGTTGCTGCAGTCAATCTAATGTCTCCTGACTGAATTCACGGGTTTATCCCTTAATGAATTGGGTAACCACACAGCGAGTTATTGGGCGTGGGAAAGAAAGGCCGGGGTTAGTGATTTTGACTCACAAAATAGGGTCGGTTCGGTACTCGTTCGGGTAACTGTAAACAGGAATATTGGTGGGTTTGTTTGTTTTTTATTTTAATTTTGGCCTTATCAGATGATGAGTTAGTTGTATTTTACGTCCGCTTCCACCGAGGTGATATCAGATACATGTATTTGCGTTATACGAGATTTGCGTAGGGACTGGGTGATCCAGACTGCATCAAAACAAAACCACGCGTCTATTTGTGCGCACAAACAAAAACAATGATGGCATAAAGCAGAGTGAGTACTGTACGGTGGCATTAGCCACAGGTTTTTAGACTGATTTTAAATGTTTTTAAATTCATTAGTCAATTTAAAACAATAAAGTTTTCTGAAAAATTGATGAAACAAATAATGATCGAGGCCCGAAAAATGTATTATAGCGGAGACCTAGGACATCCGGTTTCTGGCATAGGCATAACAAACAAAAGAAGAATGGATTGGAAGTCTATACCATTGTAGGGTATCATTATTCAGTAATCAAAATGGTGTTCTTTATGTTTTAAGAAATAATATGAGATTGCTATCTGATAAGGGTGGGGGGTGTTTTGCAGAATAAAAGGCAAAATATTTGTTTTCCCCAAAAATATATTAATTTTTTATCTGTCTGCCCAAGAAATCTGCCCCAACCCACTGCTCATACAGCTTTGCAAGGAACAGAAATAAAATTGTTTAATTATAGATATGTCCTTTATTAGGTAAATATATATCTATACATATGTAGAAGTAGTTAGAAGATTCCATTTGAAGTAGTTTATATACGTAAAATAAAGTAAATGCGTCCATTTTAGATATTCCTGACATATTTCATACAATTTTCAAAGTACTAAATATTTTATTGCTGACATATTTCATACAATTTTCAAAGTACTTTGAAAATTGTATGAAACATGTCAGCAATAAAATAATTATCTAGAATGGACTCATTTACTTTATTTTACGTATATATATATATATATTGTTACGGTCCGGGAACACACCTAAATTATATGTATATTGATTCGCTATACTATTAGATTATTTATTGTTTTGCTGGGAACATACCCATGTTATTCTGTTATAAAGTATTCGTATCAACATGACTTTTCTTTGTTAATGGGATCACTTGTTTGTTTACCTTTACGAACCTGTTCTCCCCGCGTCACAAATGGACTGCACCATTTTGTTCCACGCCGTTTTCTTCACCGGCTGCATGTAGCCGAAAATCCCCCATAGCTCCGTATAAATTGAGTGCCGTGAACCAAGGAGCCGACTGGATATGGTAGCAAACCCGAGTATTAATATCTGCGCATAAATAAATATATTTATCCTTTCAGTCCCACCGCATTGTCGATCAGAACACCAACGAGCAAGTCTGTCAAATTGACTATCGAAGACTGTTGGTCACGTGATACAACGTTGGGGGTAATATGACGTCAAAATTTAGTGACGTAATATGGCGCGCTGTACGAAGCGTTTCAGTTAGTTGGCCTTCGCAACTCATTGTGTTTAGACGTGTTTTTTAATTGTTAGCCTATATAGGCCTAGATATTGATCATGGCGCAGGTGATCTGCAACACACCTTCTCTGGTAAGGGATTAATTATATTATAGTAGGTTGTTTAACCTGTGCCTGTTGGGGAGCCTAATTAAGCTTCTTTATAATAATTTCGGTGTTTACCGATATTACCGTGCATTGACTTTGTTTGTCCTTCGACCTCCCAGTCTAACTGTGAGTTAACGTTTGCCTTTAACACCTTTTATTTATACACCTGTGTTGCTCTTTTTAGCCACGGTGTAATGCCATATCAACATATAAAACATTGAAATATAATTGATTATATCTGATCTGCCTGTAGAACCGTAAGTGGTATTTCAACCAGTCATTGGTGCTACAAAACCTGATCTGGTGCTTGCCTGTGTGAGCTGGGTGCATGGAACCGGATCTGGTGTTTTGAACCTAATCCGGTGCACCAGATATAAACCTGATTATCAATGATAAATAAGTCATTGCGATTGTTATTAGCAGAAAGTTTTCAAGTGGAAATTCTGCAGGGAATTGAGGAAAATAAATAAGGTGGTCTGCTACCGAATTTGGGCACTAAAGGGAGATAACTCCTCTTGGGCTTGGTATCTTTATTTACAGGGAAACCATTACCAATCCAGAAGGTCCTGAATCGTGTATCGCATACACTAAGTATCCTGATATATTCACCACTTCAAAAACTAAGTACCGGTACAATTAACAATTTACGACGTGAAACAAGTATAACTTTTCAACTTCGATGTACATTTCAATTATTAAATATTAATTATTAAATATTGTATTAATTATTTTATATATTTAGGTAATAAAGTTTGTGTTGTTCTTAATTAAAGTACTCTGTTATCTGTTCGTGTCTGGGGTGTTGCAGGGGGTCTTCACGTACAGCTACAGAACGCCCGCGAATTCGTTGGTTGCCAGCCGGAGGGTTGGTAGCGTAACAATTGGTGTCAGAAGTGGGATCCATTGAAGTTCTGTAGTTGGTGAACCCTATATCAGACATGAGCGATTCCGAGATTACGTTTAAAGAGCAATCTGTGCCTTGTCCTCAGAATTTAAATGATAGTATTGCCTCAAGTGGTTCTAGTATGGAGGACCCTGACTTCACTGTTGTGAATGAGACTGTTGATGACACTTTGTCTGAAGCTGATGCCCTCCAATCTATGGAGAAACGAATAGAAGCTTCAATTTTTAGAAGTCAGGGGAACCTAGAAAAGAGAATAATAAAAATGACTGAAAATATCTTGACAAATTATAATAGAGTAACTGAAAACTCTCTATCACATATGACTTTAGCTATTGAAACGGTTAGTTCCAAGGTGAATGATTTGGAAACCTTGCGCCAAACCTGTGATGCTCCAATACCTGCCCTAAAAAAACAATGTAATGATATAAATAATAGTTATGGTAGAACCCCTACAACAAGGTTATGCACACAACCTGGCAGTAGTTATTCGACATGTCCAGATGTACCCACAGAGGGATTTAGCTATTCAAGGGAGAGTACTCCAAATAATCATACATCAGCCTCCACCAAAATGAGACCACCAAGTTACAATGGCACTGAGGAGCTGGAAGATTATCTTGCTCAGTTTGAAGTTTTATCCGAATTAAATCGCTGGGATTATAAGACTAAGTCCCTTTATCTAGCCAGTAGCCTTGACGGAAGTGCGAGGTCCCTGCTAAATGAATTATCCCATGAGAAAAGGAGGGACTATGATAGTCTGGTTCAGATATTAAACCTTAGATTTGGCTCAACCAATAGGTCTGAAATATTTAAGGCCACCCTTCAGACTAGAACTAAGCAAAGAAATGAAAGTATATCTGATCTTGCTCAGTCAATCAAGAAGCTTTCAAGACAAGCCTACCCGGAAGCACCCAGCAGCGTGGTGTCAACCCTTGCTAGAGATTATTTCATAGACGCTTTGCCAGATACCGATATGAGGCTCCGACTTCGTGAAGCCAGAGTCAAGGATATAGGCGAAGCTGAGCTGTTAGCTGTACAATTGGAGGCTTTTAGAATGGCAGACCGACAGAGGACACATCGGGTCCATGCAGTTGGGCAACCGAAGGATCAAAATCTGTCTGGTCAAGGTCATGAACAAACCAAATTAAACGATGCTGTGCTAGGTCTGCGACAAGATATGCAGCTCTTAACAAGACATCTGCAGCGATTGTCCACTTCTAATGTACAATCTGAAAGAGACAGAATACCTGATTACCAAAACAATATTTATCAAAGAGGAGATTTTTACAGTAGGAGAGAATGGCCTGGGAGAGGAAATCAGAGACCAATTCAGTCTCAAGATAGACGCCATGATATAGATATAAAGCAGGGAAACGGGCAGACGTCGAGTTCAGAGGCCAGACCTCGACGAGAACAGAGACCAATCAGGTCTCAATAAGGGCCTCAAAATATGGAGATGAGGGACTGTTTGTGCCAACACTAATTGAGGGTCTTCCTGTCACAATGCTAGTGGACACTGGGGCCAATATTACATTATTAAATAGAGAAGTGTTGGACAAGTTAACTAAGAAGTCCTCATCCATTAAACTTTTGCCAGTTAACCTAAGCATGGTGACAGCGACTGGAGAGTTATCTCCCTTCCATGGGAAAACGCACCTTAAAATAAAGTTAGGGAAAAGAATTGTTTCCCAAGAAGTTTACATTACTGACATTCAAAATGATGGCATTTTAGGTCTAGATTTCTTGACAAATATAGGAGGAGATGTAATTACTAGTAAGAATTGTTTAAATGTTAAAGGAGAGGAAATTCCTTGTTACTTCTTCTCAACTGAGGCAGAGCCAAAAGTGTGCAGGCTTGCTTTAGCTGAAGACACAGTTGTTCCCCCTGAAACTGAGATTATTGTTTCAGGAAAATTCATTGATCCTGTGATCAATATGCAAAAAGGAATTATAGAACCTTTACCAGGGTTTACTAAAAAGACAGGACTCTTATTAGCTAAATGCTTTGTGAATACCAGAGGTGGGAATATTCCTCTACGTATTATAAATGTAACGAACCAACCTTGTAAGATTTATAAGAACACAGTAGCGGCTCAATGTGAAGTTGCTGAGGAAATTGTTAAAGTTGAACAGGATAATTCTGTTCAACAAGTATACAATGTGACTAAAACTCACATATTACCTGATCATGTCACGGAAGTCCTTGATAGAAGTACACCAAATCTGAATGATTCTGAAAAAGAAAAATTAAGGAATTTATTAATTAAACATAGTGATTTATTCTCTAAAGATTCCTTAGATATAGGAGGGACAAATCTAGTGGAACACAGAATAAACACAGGTAATGCCATGCCTATAAAGCAGCCACCCAGACGTATACCATTGGCTAAACTTCAGGAAGCCAGGGAAGAAATAGAGAAAATGGCAAAACAGGGGATTATCTCTCCCTCAATCAGTCCCTGGTCATCCCCAGTGGTTTTAGTAAAAAAGAAGGATAACAGTACTAGATTTTGTGTAGATTACCACAAGCTTAATGATGTGACTATTAAAGACTCCCATCCCCTTCCCAGGATAGACGACACCCTAGATGCACTATCTGGAGCAAAACTCTTTTCCACACTTGATCTTAAAAGTGGATACCACCAAGTAAAATTAGCTGAGAGTGACAAAGAGAAGTCAGCTTTCTCAGTATATGGCAGTGGCTTGTGGGAGTTCAATGTAATGAGTTTTGGGCTTTGCAACGCACCTGGCAGTTTTGAAAGACTGATGGAGAGGGTGCTAAAAGGCTTATCCTGGCAAATCTGTTTGGTCTACCTTGATGACATAATAGTGTATTCGAAGTCATTCGAACAACACCTTGAAAATTTAACGAAGGTTTTTGAGTGCCTGAAGCAGGCTAACCTTAAGTTAAATCCCAAAAAATGTCATCTAATGAAAGAAGAAGTTACCTATCTAGGGCACATTGTTAGTGCCCAGGGTATTGCTACTGATCCTGCCAAAATCGAGGCTGTCAAAAACTGGCCAGTGCCTGTAAATGTAAAACAAATTAGGAGCTTTCTGGGACTTTGCTCCTATTACAGGAGATTTGTTAAGGGGTTCGCTGATATAGCAAGGCCATTACACAAGCTTACAGAGAAAGCAAGGCCATTTCAGTGGACCGAGGAGTGTCATAAAGCCTTTCAAAGACTGCGGACAGCGCTTACGGCGTCACCAGTTCTCGCTTATCCGAATGACAATGACAAGTACATAATAGATTGTGATGCTAGCAATGAAGGATTGGGAGCTGTACTCTCCCAGGTGCAGGATGGTACCGAAAGAGTTATTTGTTTTTACAGTAAAGCTTTCTCTTCAGCCGAGAGAAAGTATTGTGTAACTAGAAGGGAACTTCTAGCTATGATAACATCCATTAAAAACTTTCACCATTATCTGTATGGTAGGAAGTTTCTGGTGCGAACAGACCATGGAGCGTTGAGGTGGTTGTTTAATTTCAAAAATCCCGAAGGGCAAATCGCTAGGTGGTTCGAAACCTTAGCTGCCTATGATTTTGAAATTGAGCACCGCCCTGGCCGAATTCACTCTAATGCTGATGCACTGTCAAGGCGACCATGCTTCGAACGTAACTGTTCGAAATGCTCTTCTGCCGAGGAGAGATATGAGGAATTTAGTCATGTTGGAAATGACCTAAACCCAATGGAAGATGTTGTGCCAAAGATAGGGCAAACCAATGATGAAAATGCTAACCTTACCACTGACAAAGAAGGAGATCCGATTCCATCTGCATCAGTCAGAATGGTTGGCATTGGAACTACTGATAGCATTAACATGCCTTCTACCTCTTTTCCACCGGACCAATCGAATGGCTCTGAGTATATCCTAAATGATGTTGATATTCCTGCAAAACAAGGAGAAGATAAAATTTTAGCCCAGATTATTGACTGGAAACAAACTAATAAGAAACCTCAATGGGAGGAAATTGCTAATAAAGATGTATCTATTAAATACTATTGGCATCGTTTTGAGTCTTTTGTTTTACGGGGAGGGGTGTTATATCGATCTTGGGAAAAAGAAGTCGGAGATTTGACATATCTCCTTGTTTTACCCTCTTGCTTAAAGAAATTAGCCTTTGAACATCTACATAACTCACCGACTGGTGGGCATTTGGGGGTCAAGAAAACCTTGTACAAATTGAGATCTCGCTTTTCGTGGTATGGCATGAGATCGGATGTAAGATATTGGGTAAACTGCTGTGACATTTGTTCGTCAAGGAAAAGACCGGCGCATAAACCTAAGGCCCCTCTGAAATTATATTGTGTAGGAGCTCCCATGGAAAGAATTGCCATGGATATCATGGGGCCTTTGCCACTGACCCTCAATGGGAATAAATATGTCCTAGTTGTGGGCGATTATTTTACTAAGTACACAGATGCGTATCCTATCAAAGATACAACTGCTCTCACAGTGGCTGATACTCTGATAGAAAGATTCGTAACTCATTTCGGTGTGCCTCTTTCACTGCATACAGATCAAGGATCGAACTTTGGCTCCAAGGTATTTGCCTCTATGTGTCAAACCTTGGCCATTCACAAGACTCGAACTACCCCTTTTCGCCCACAATCTGATGGAATGATTGAGAGGGCAAACCAAACAATAAAGAATATGCTTAGTGCCTTTGTAAATGAAAACCAAAATGATTGGGATAAATACCTTCCTATGATAATGATGGCTTATCGTTCATCCATTCATGAATCAACTGGAGTAACCCCAAACAAAATGATGTACGGAAGAGAGATAACTCTTCCTGTTGATTTAGTCTTTGGCACACCTGAAATGATGAATACAGATAATTATTCATTAGATTTTAACTACGCGTATGAATTAGAACAAAAAATTAATAGAATACATAATTTTGCTCGTGGTCAACTTAATATGGCTGGTGCCAATATGAAAAGAAATTATGACAAAAAGTTAGCTCATAATAGTTATGAAGTTGGGACTCCAGTATGGGTTCATAACCCCAAGCCAAGAAAGGGCTTGAGTAGAAAACTGCAAAGAGATTGGCAGGGGCCATATATTGTCACGCAGATAATTAATAGTGTGATTTACCGGATACAGGAATCCCCTCGAGCTAAACCAAAAATAGTTCATCATGACAAACTAAAACGATATGAAGGGAACTGCCCCCCAACATGGCACAGAGTATAATATCTGTAATTTATTTATTGTTTGTATATAAAGCCGATGTATTAATGATTATTAATAGATAAATTTCTACTTACCTGTATGTTTATACTCACCTGCATATACTCAGATTTTGTATGAGACTTTATTCTTCATTTAAGGTTACTACTTACACTTGCCGTGTATGCGGGGACTACACTTTTGACAGAAAATCGGCTGGGAGGCGACATCTGGTCGAGCAACACAGTGGCATTGGCTTTCGGTGCTTACTCTGCAAGAAGGTATTTATGCGCCGACACCAGAAGCATAGAGATTGCACCGGGGGAGATGGCTCGGCACCGTACGAGCCCTTTAATCGTATAACTGGAGAGTCCGGCCAGGTGGTTGAGGACGCCTTGTCTCGTTTCATGTTGACCATTGATGAGAAAATCTTACCAATGCAGGAGAGGCAACTCACCCCTTCTACAGAAAAGAGGAAGCGTGACAGCCCTCCTCCAATGTCAACTAATACAGAAAAGAAGAGCCGAACATTACCACAAACGTACTCCCGAACACCATCAGTCCCGGTACATCTTTTTCAGTCCTCCCCCAGGAAGTTACAAGACAACAGTGACACGTTGTCTCTGTATGCGGAAGGCGTTTCGACTGTTGATGAAGACGTGGGGTTCGTGGAATCCTTTCTACAAACAGTACCGAACCTGCCATCTGAGGAGGAACCGATGCCACACCCTTGTCCAGTCGTAACGAAAGCCACGCTTATGCAATTGAACCGGATTGTATTAAACATTGGGGGCACCAAGTATGACACCACACAGGAGACGCTGCTAAATGTCCCTGACAGTTTTTTCACCTTCCTTTTCAGGGTTGAACCAATTGCCTCCAATCCCAGCACATATTTTATTGATAGGGACCCAGCGCACTTCCGACATGTACTAAACCATTTGCGCCGTGGGGGTGTTTCGAAGCCTCAAACCCTCCCCAAGGAACCTCGGTTCTTGGAGGAGCTCATCATCGAAAGTGAATTTTATATTCTGCCAACACTAGTTCAAATAGCCAGTGACAGATTAGCCATACTTAAGGATGAGTAACATTGACCAAACTGCCTACCTGTTTGGGGACCAAACCCGGATTGGGAGGGGGGCTGTGTTACGGTCCGGGAACACACCTAAATTATATGTATATTGATTCGCTATACTATTAGATTATTTATTGTTTTGCTGGGAACATACCCATGTTATTCTGTTATAAAGTATTCGTATCAACATGACTTTTCTTTGTTAATGGGATCACTTGTTTGTTTACCTTTACGAACCTGTTCTCCCCGCGTCACAAATGGACTGCACCATTTTGTTCCACGCCGTTTTCTTCACCGGCTGCATGTCGCCGAAAATCCCCCATAGCTCCGTATAAATTGAGTGCCGTGAACCAAGGAGCCGACTGGATATGGTAGCAAACCCGAGTATTAATATCTGCGCATAAATAAATATATTTATCCTTTCAGTCCCACCGCATTGTCGATCAGAACACCAACGAGCAAGTCTGTCAAATTGACTATCGAAGACTGTTGGTCACGTGATACAACGTTGGGGGTAATATGACGTCAAAATTTAGTGACGTAATATGGCGCGCTGTACGAAGCGTTTCAGTTAGTTGGCCTTCGCAACTCATTGTGTTTAGACGTGTTTTTTAATTGTTAGCCTATATAGGCCTAGATATTGATCATGGCGCAGGTGATCTGCAACACACCTTCTCTGGTAAGGGATTAATTATATTATAGTAGGTTGTTTAACCTGTGCCTGTTGGGGAGCCTAATTAAGCTTCTTTATAATAATTTCGGTGTTTACCGATATATTACCGTGCATTGACTTTGTTTGTCCTTCGACCTCCCAGTCTAACTGTGAGTTAACGTTTGCCTTTAACTCCTTTTATTTATACACCTGTGTTGCTCTTTTTAGCCACGGTGTAATGCCATATCAACATATAAAACATTGAAATATAATTGATTATATCTGATCTGCCTGTAGAACCGTAAGTGGTATTTCAACCAGTCATTGGTGCTACAAAACCTGATCTGGTGCTTGCCTGTGTGAGCTGGGTGCATGGAACCGGATCTGGTGTTTTGAACCTAATCCGGTGCACCAGATATAAACCTGATTATCAATGATAAATAAGTCATTGCGATTGTTATTAGCAGAAAGTTTTCAAGTGGAAATTCTGCAGGGAATTGAGGAAAATAAATAAGGTGGTCTGCTACCGAATTTGGGCACTAAAGGGAGATAACTCCTCTTGGGCTTGGTATCTTTATTTACAGGGAAACCATTACCAATCCAGAAGGTCCTGAATCGTGTATCGCATACACCAAGTATCCTGATATATTCACCACTTCAAAAACTAAGTACCGGTACAATTAACAATTTACGACGTGAAACAAGTATAACTTTTCAACTTCGATGTACATTTCAATTATTAAATATTAATTATTAAATATTGTATTAATTATTTTATATATTTAGGTAATAAAGTTTGTGTTGTTCTTAATTAAAGTACTCTGTTATCTGTTCGTGTCTGGGGTGTTGCAGGGGGTCTTCACGTACAGCTACAGAACGCCCGCGAATTCGTTGGTTGCCAGCCGGAGGGTTGGTAGCGTAACAATATATATATGTCCAGAAATATTAGGACAACCGTAAAGCTGCACTACTCTTTGTTTCACGGTAAACTATGAAAAGATAAAAGGTATGCCGACAGAAAATATATACATATATATTAATGTAGATAAAGTACAAGTACTTCTTTGTTTACGGTAGATAAATGCATAAATAAATAAAAAAAATACGTCCAGGTAAAAAATTCTCCACTTTTCTTCATTCTTACATACATTAAATCATATAAGCTAGCTGGCTGCCTTCTAAGGGCGTCTTCGGGTATTAATAATGTATGCATATATATTAAATCCATTTTATTTTTGATCGATTAAATTATCCTAAGCATGTTACATACCAGTGACCGTATTCAGCTGTCATTCTGAGATTCATAATTAGCGGTCAGCTTTGACAGTCAATTTTATTTTTAGTAACACGCCTTGGCCAATCAAAAAATAAGGGCTTCGCCAACACGACGTCATTAACCTCATTTCATGTTACTTCCGGTCCCACGAAGTTGATATTCGCCAAGTGATAGCGCTTCGTTCGTTCGTTCGTATCTAGAGTTTTACGTCCACTTCCACCTAGGGTGATATCGTAGACAAGTAGCGTTTCGAGTTTGATTTATAATTAATAACGCTGTAAAATGACCAATTAATAACATCGGAAGCTGAATAATGATTAAATAAGGTCTCGTTGGCAATAAAAGCGACGGAAAGTGATAGAACTAGTGGGTATTGTGAGATGATAGCAGTTGAAATGTCTTGAACGGGTGAAAACAACATGGCGGGTGAGCAATGACATGAAATGAAATGGGGTTTAACGTCCTACTATTTTGCTCCGAACTGGGCTAATTAAAATGGGCATACGCCATACAGTGTGCTATGGGGGAAATTTTGCCCGGACAGCGACACTACGGTCTATTCCAATTGTCAAGGGATATTTTACGTGCACGCCAATGTGTACACGGGACCTCGGTTTTTCGTCTCATCCGAATGACTAGATAGCTGTCCTTGTCAGGCCCGCCCTGCATCTCTGACAAGGGGAAAACACGCCGGAAAATCTGGATGAACTTTCTCGGCCAATGCAGGGATCGAACACCTGGCGGGTGAGAAACGTTGTATATATTGTAATATATAGTCAAGCAGTAGTAGGAAGTTTTATTTTAATCTCTTCAAGTGCCTGTGTACGAGTGTTATTGCGAATGGTAAATTTGATTAACGACTGACTGTACGAGAATGAAAGCAACATGACGATTGCGACATTATAATATAACAAGTCATGCAATAGCATCATTTACCGCCCAGTTATACCCTTCTTGTGGCGATACTTTCCATTTCCCATGAAGATCCATTGCTTTTTGGTTTACATGGATGAAACAAGCATCGCATTTGCACATCTGTTTAATCTTCTCCGGTATCATGTCGCTTGATAGTCACAGCGATAGATACAGACATAACGGCTAAACTCAGATCCATTCACTTGGTTTTATATATGCGTTTGTTTTTTATATATATATATATATATTTTTTAAATGTGTCCTGTCCGTGGGTTTGTATTGTGTAATTGTTAATGCAATGAAATGTGGTTTAACGTACTATTGTTGTGCTCCACCTGGGCTAATTAAGACGGACATACACCATACAATCCAAAAGCTTGACTGCATAATTCACAGTCAAAACGTACTTAACTAATTAATTCACGGTCTAAAATCTTGATTAATTAATTCACGGTCCACTAATCATGACTGGTTATCTAACTTCACAAATATCTTAATTAATGTATTCATATTCCAAAGTCTTGACTAGTCCAAACGTCTTGCTTAATAAATTGTCAAATTAATTCAGGTCCAAATATCTTGATTAATTACTTCACCGTCCAAATTTTCTTAATTAATTAATATACAGTCAACATTTATTTATTCACCGTCAAAAGTCTTGATTATATATATATAATTACTTCACTAAATCATTATAATCGACAAGCATATGACAGTAGTTAAACTAGATATTATCAGATATGACCAAAAACAAAACACATCTAAGGATTCCGACACTTCCTGCCACGTTACCATGGTTGCATCATAATCATCACCATCATCATCACTAACATACGTGACGCGTTTTTGTATATCACCAACTGGAGATATGTTGTTCTGTTTTGGTTTCCGCCGATTAAAGAAGCATCGCCATCGCACTATTCCCTTAATGGTCCTTGGAACCCCGTTACTAGGCTTTTTATGATAAATTCTCAGGATAATTATAGACAATAAGACGGATAGGGCGCTAGAGAATACCAACAGTGATATGTATACGGCTAACACCGAAACTTCCAAAGATGTCTGTGGCATTTCGCTACTTAGGATGGATAAGAAGAGAATATAACCCAGTAGAATTGTTACCGCTAAGGAGATTTTCTCACCGGAGTCCGCAGGCAATGCAAACACTGTGGACACCAACATTGCCAAGCAAACTACCGGAACGATTATATTCAAAACGTAGAAGGTTGTGCGTCTATTTATGGTTAAATTTATATGAATTCCGGCTTTCGTTATTTCGTCCTTTTTTACTATTTCAATATTGACAAGCTCCCATTCTCCATTGGGACCATACTCAAATGTAATATCCCCTGATGATAGGCTGCTGTTACCTACTATTAAATCTATTTCTGTCAGATCAGAGACCATGGTCTCTAAGGTGATGCTACACACTTGCTGGTCAAAAGGATAATACTTCACGTTAATATCACAAGAGGTCTGAAAAAGAATACTGGGCGTCCATAAAACAGTTCCATCCGTGTTCAGTCGTATTGGCATTTCATCGAAACCCAGCTTGGATCTTTTTTCATTCGAGTTGCCCACCACCAAGTCGGGTTTCCAGACTTCGTTCTGCGGCACAACCAGGGTATCGATACCCCCAAAGCTGTTCATATCCCACGCGAGAAAATCGTCATGCCATTTTAATGTAAGATATCCGAATGATATCAGAACTTGATCTTTCTCTAGTAGTTCATTGATGGATACGAGGCTAAACGACGTATATATCTTCAGTGCCTGTGTATCCGTAGCCACTGGCCGGATGTTGGGGTTGTAGTCGCTAAACGTAGCATTGTATAGGTTGTAGTAGTCTGTTTTAACAGCTGCGTCAGTCGTAACAAATATAACACCGTAGCACGCAATTGTTAACACAAAATACATCTTGTTCAATGGCCCTGTAGCTCACTGAAAAAAAAATGTTAAAAAAACAAATTAAATTTTTATATAAGCAAATAAAAAGGGGGTAGAACGAATTACACGTTTTTAATGTTACGGTTTATAGTTTTAAGAAAAATAGAGAATGTTCTGCAAATCTCCCAATCTACACTCAACAATGTTGTATTAAAGATACATTGTGTAACATTTCGATAAAGAGCTCATTGTTCTCGTGTCTCGGTATAATAGATAATGAAAAGTGAATATATTGAACATTTCAGTCAAATTTCTTTATTATTTACTTACATTACATTTGTCTTACTGATTTAAGTTATATATGTATTTAATTACATATGTCTTACTTATAATATTTACATATTTGATTACATATATATTACTTACAATATTTACATCTTATAATATTTATTCATTTAATTACAAGCGGGTGGAGATGGCCGAATATTTATTTATTTCAAGAACACTTATGCATTACTTACGAGTATGATATTTAATTATTCATTACAAATGTATTACTTATTTATTCATTTAATTACAGAGGGGGGGGGGGGGGAGACGGCCGATTATTTATTTATTTAAAGAAAACTTATGCATTACTTATATTTAATTATTCATTACATACGTATTACTTATAATATTTACTAATTTAATTACATACGTATTACTTATAATATTTATTTATTTAATTTCATACGTATTACCTATAATATTTATTTATTTAATAACTTATGCATTACTTACGTATTACTTATAACATGTATTTAACTACATACGTATTAGTTATAAAAATTACTTATTTGATTACATACATATTAATTATAATATTTATTTATTTAACTAAATACGTATTACTTATAATATTTCTTTATTTTACTACATATTTATAATATGTATTTATATTACCTATAATATTTATTTATTTAACTACATACGTATTACTTATAATATTTATTTATTTATATTTTTTTTTACTACATACGTATTACGTATAACATTTATTTATATTATAAAATATTTAGTCATTTAACTACATACGTTATACTCACAGGCACTTGAAGAGATTAAAATAAAACTTCTTACTACTGCTTGGCTATATATTATAGTATATAAGAAGTTATTCAGCCGCCATCTTTGTTTTCACGTCTTCAAGGCATTTCGTCTGCTAACATCTCACAATACTCACTAGTTCTAACACTACCCGTCGTTTTTATTGACAACGTGGCCTTATTTGATCATTATTCAGCTTCCGATGTAATTAAATTGGCCATTTAACAGCGTTATTAATTACAAATCAAACTTGAAGCGCTGTCACTTGCCGATATTCGTCTTCATCAGCCCGGAAATAAGTTTTGTTTGTAGCAGTCTGTATCACCCAGTCCCTTATAAACTTATATAAATTCATCTCCCGCAAGAAATCATTTACAAGTCGCGGCTTGTTTTCCGATCCCATAACGATTTATTGTACCTTAAGATATGTAAATATTTATTGAATAAATTATAGTGTTAAAAAGAACAGGAAAAAAGGAAGGTTACTATTAAAAGTATGATTTATCTCGGTCCTACCTGTGGCGTGGTGATCGCTGATTTTTCATGCAAAAAACCCAGTATTTATAGTTTTGGTTCTAGAGTAGATTTGTAGCATAGCTGGGCCACGGTATAGTGTTTGATAATGACTGAGTTATATGATTATGTCGTAATGACGATCGAAAATCTGAACATAAATATTCCTGTCAACAACTCTAGAGGAGCTGCAAAAAACAACGGGTCGAAAATGTTATTGCGTGCCCTTCTTGGCCTTTGGGCGATAGTAAATAAAATTAGACACCATGTTCCTTTAAAAACATATCAATGAAAATCGTATAACTTTACCTACCTTTTTCGTGATCCGCTACGTCTTCTACCTGTAAACTATACTAATGGGGGATTTACGTTAGCTTACCTGTTGCCAAGGTAAACTGACCAGTCCAAGATTAAGGTCGAAACGCCATTAAGTAATCTACTGTTCATGACACCCCACGTGACCCAGGAGATTACGAGGTGTGCGTATGCCTGTCTGTGCCTGAAATATTTTTATGTAATGACCGCTTCCACAATGAGTAGTGAGAATGACCTATGTGATCAATGAAGCGAGTATGCTAAACTGTTCATTGAAGATTCTGAAATATTATCCAGGATTTGATGTGAAAATAAGTCATTATAATGTCAATGAATATTTAGGAAAGAAAAAAATATGCTTGGCGGGGGTGGGGACCGGGTCCTTTCCCCCTCCCTCTTCTGGACAAGCGTCTGCATTTTGATTAAAACACAGATCATACCAAAACATTACAGTTAGGTTTGATTTAGAGAAACTGCTGTATCGCGGATGACACATCTACACCTAACACCTTTACACTCAGAAATGAAATGAAATGGGGTTTAACGTTCTAAACAACTTGGCTAATGAAGACGCGCATATGCCATACAGTGTGCTATGAGGGAAATTTTGCCCGAGCAGCGACACTGTGGCCTACTCTTATATCGAATTCCAACTGCCATGGGAACGACTAGACAGCGGTCCTTGTCGGAACCTTCGTCCTGCACGACTAATAAGGGGGAAACCATGTCGGAAAATCCCGATAAACTTTCTCGGCTATGGGTGGAAATTTGCCAGGTCCAATTGTCAAGGGTCATTTTATGTGCACGCCAATGTCTACATAGGATCTCGGTATTTAGTCCCCTTCGAATTACTAGACACTATCCTTGCCCATGTATATTTTTCAAAAAAAGTAGGGGATATTTAGAAACAATACAAAACTGCGGAAATGCACTGCTGTTTTTATTAGAGGTAACCAGTGTATGTTAATAAGAGGCCAATTGCCTACACATGAACATAAACAGTTCATATAGGCGGCTTATCTGACGGCCCCATTTCACTCGCAAAGAGATACACTGTCAAAAGTGAAAATGGACGTTTTTGATTTTTGTCTTAATAATGAGTAATTGCTCCACCAATCCTCAGACATTCAGCATTTCGTCGTGGCATGCTCCTAATCAACCGTCCAATCACGATTTGAGGCAATCTGGCCCACTCCTCTTGCAGTCCCACAAAAAAAACCTTTCTTAAATAGGTTGTAGTGTGAATGAATATTGTTTAACTAAAACCAGATGTATAGTATATGAATTGTCGCTTGACAATAATATTATCATCAGTTTGTCTACATTGATTCACCGAGTGATTTATCCAAAGTTTTATTTCAGGAGAACCCACTTGAAAATGTCAAGACGATTGACTGTGGCTTGCTGCCTCCATCAAGAAGATGTTTTGAAATGAAGCTGGAAAGAGTCAACAATGTGACCATGTTATGGCAACGGGCTTCAGCGTCTTGCCCTGGTTATGTTTTGACACCTACCGATTGTGGATGGAAGGTGGTTGATGATCTCCTCCAGCCCATTTGGTTTAGCGGAGCTGCAATACCAGGCAGTATGTTCAAAAAGACAGATGCAGCGATGAGACAATCGTTGTTGGGAACGAATGTGACACTGCATCTCTTGATGATTCTGATGATGAACCCTGGACAGAAGACTCCCGATTCTGATCCAGAAGACATAAACTAGGCATTCACGGATACTAAGGGCGTCTGACGAGGATACCCCACCACTGAAAATGTCTGGGTCAATTCTAAATAAAAGTATCAAAACATGAACCATAAGAGTTTTGATAAGAAAGAAACTTACCCTGTGTCCTATATGTTCTCAGTTGTCATTGTTGTACGTTCGGGGAGGGGGTGGGGAAATTAGGGAAATCTTGCAGATGTACACCACCACTGAATATGTCTGGTAATGTTCGTAACATGATATATGAGCATGTGCTGCGCATTTTGCAACAAGTTTCGTGCCGCCAGTAAATGGACTAATTTAGCTTAGATTTGTTTCAAGGAATTTTTTTTTTTTGGGGGGGGGAGGGGCAGGGGAATTAGGGACGTCTGGTCGGGTTACCCCACCACCGAAATAGTGTGGCGGTGGTCATTCATAATACATGTGAATATATTGAACATTATGCAAGAAATTTTATGCGGTTAGTAAATGAGCTAGTCAAGCTTAAATATTGGGTTGGGGCAATTAGGGCCTCCGGCGGGGGTACCCCACCACTGAAAATGTCTGGCATCGGTGATTCGCGATACATGTGGATATGCTGAACAGTTTGCAACAACTTTCATGCGGTTAGTAAATGAGCTAGTCTAGCTAAGTTTTAGGGTGGGGCAATTGGGGACGTCTGGCGGGGGTACATCACCACTGAAAATATCTGCCATCGGTGATTCTTGATACATGTGGATATGCTGAGCATTTTGCAACAAATTTCATGTAGTTAGTAAATGAGCTAGTCAAGCTTAAATATTGGGTTGGGGCAATTAGGGGCGTCTGGCGGGGGTACCCCACCACTGAAAATGTCTGGCATCAGTGATTCGTGATACATGTGGATATGCTGAACATTTTGCAAAAAGTTTTATGCGATTAGTAAACGAGCTAGTCTAGATTAGCTTTTGGCTACCTGTTTTTTTAGTCTGGCGGACATGTCCCACCGCCTAAAATGTCTGGCAGTGGGCATTCTCAATACATTTTGATATGCT